CGGGCAACCCCGGTGGTGGGAAAAATTGGGAGGGGGGGGGGGGTGGAGACGACGACAAGGGAAGGTATTCTGTGTGTACATTACACTTTGCCTTTACAGTACATGCACTTTTTTTGCAGTCGCACCACACCAGAATACAGTGCATTGTGGTGCCACACATTCCGTTGCAGGTGATCGCACTGCGGGCAGGAGGCACATCTGCGGCACCATTGAAATTAAAGGCAACACCACGCTCCCTCTTGCAGGGAGGGTTTGATTAAAAGGAGAACTATGGGGTTAGGGCTTTTCCCCATAGTTCTCTTAACGGTAAGACACAAACTAGCGTCCTGCCATCACCCTAAGCTTAGGGTTAGCCCTAACCCTAAGCTACTGCTCGCGGTGTACTGAGATGCCGCAGCTGAAACGGATCCCGACAAGTATGGCTGGATCCGCCCAGCTGCGTGAGTGACAGCTGGATCTGCCTATCTAGAGGGCCAGCTGTACCCGCCCCCTCCCCCATCCGTTCCACCAGTCAGCGCTGGAGGATCGGAGCGGGGAGAAGGGAATCCAGTCCCTCCTGTCACGGCTCTCTGGCGGCACAGGATCGAGAAGTGAGTGAACGCCGGTATGTGTTCGCTCACTTCCCGATCTACTGAGCCGACCTGTGACAGTTTCATTGTCACGGGTCGGCTAGAACTATGAGGGTGAGTGGAAAACACTCACCTCATAGTTCTCCTTTAAGCGGTCCAGTGCGTTCATGACACTGGATTGTGTGAAGGGGCCCTGAACGTCCACTGAGTAATTCTAGGGTGAAATTGAGAGTTTGCACTTCAGCAAAGTTACAGGCAATTTTTACAAACCCCCTCCCCCATCCCAAATGGGATCCTTGGCTGTGCTTATGGCTGGATAGAGCAGGAAGGTCTGAGCCTGGCCCTTTCCAACCAAAAAATAAGAAATGGACAGAGATGCTCAACACTATGCACAGGATACAAAATGACATAAAAGCCTTCCCCTAATACAGGGGTGAGTAACTCCAGCTGAGCTTTAACCACAAAGCCGAACATGCCTCTGTCTCTGGGAGTCATGCCTGTAAATGTCAGTCTTGCAATGCATCATGTGACTTGTAGTTCCACAACAGCTGAAGAGCCAGAATTGCCTGACCCTGCTCTAGTAGATGCTGTAACCTAGGAACAGAGAAAGGTGTGCCGTAACTACAACTCCCAGCATGCTTTGCTGCCCACAACCTGTCAGGAACCCTTTGCGACAGCCCCAATGAAGGTGCACGGCTGTGGACGGAGACATTTAAGTATATGCACACTTCACTGAGTGACAGCATGACAGAAGTACAGGGACAGCCAGGAATCATTGGGCCGAGCGGGTATGATGGGTATTCAGGTCTCCATTGACAGGCCGCCGCCCCTGCTGTGTGTACGGCGAGTCCACGGCTCCACATTCCCACCGCAAGCACGGAGCGTGCATTACCTGCCGCGGCTGCCACAACTGCCGCCTCCTCCTTCAGCAACCTCCACCAGATGCTAAGCAAGCAACACTGAATCCCCCGATCGGTGAGCTCCGCCCTCAAAACATGTGCAACGCCGACGTCACACGTAAAGCAAGCAGCCAATCAGGGAACGAGACCCGAGCTCTACGTTCTCCAGCTTCCCCCTGTGACGTGGCGCTTTTGAACTAAGCGGGAAAAGGCGAAAGAGCCCGTCACGTGACGTGACCTAATCTGGTCGTCCAGCTGGAGGGTGCTGCTCACTACTGACGAGGCTCTGTCAGGGCGGATCATGTGCTGGAAACAGAAGAGGTTTACTAGGGGTCCCGTCAGTTAAGTAGTTCATGAAGGAAAGGATTAGGCTGCTGTTTTGCTCCTTTAACTGAGTTCAGTTCGGAATATAGTTTTTGCGTTATTGAGAATAATTGTTAGCAGGGAGACAGAAAACGATAGAAATGACACGATTCATGTTGCTGGCTGACAGGGAATGAGTGAGGCGAGGAGTTTTCTGCCTCTTCTACATTGCACATATGCCAAGGGCTAAAGTGGGGTCCCAATCTACTTGTCCCAATACAAAAAAATAGTTTTAATCAAAACTGTATTTAACTGTGCTAAGAAGCGCTTCTCAACAAGTGCTTGCAATTTGCGAGCAAAATTTTAAAAGCACAGCGCAGGGCAGGAATGGACAGCAGTACGGGGTGCAAATTGTACACCCGTACTGGTGGAGGGAAAGGACTGTTCGCTGAAAAATAAGTATAGTGCGGGGGGGGAGAGACGTGCCAGATTTGATGGGGTGATTCCATTTTCCCAGCCGTGCACAGAAACCAATCAGAACCTCTCTCTTTTTCAAATCTTAACCAAAAAAATTATTGAGGAGAAACGCTGAGTGGTTGCCATGGGCAACTGCTCCAGCTTTTGATAAATTCCCCCCATTATGCATGTCAGGGTCAGTTCACACCACAAACAGTGCGTTCCAGAGCGGTCAGCCCCTGTAGCCCACTCCGGCCAGCTCCCTGCGTTCAGGGGCAGGAGGGGGCATGGCGGTTCATTGAAGACAATGGCACCGCAGCGCGATCGCACGTTCAGGTGCAGGCAGGAAGCATGGCTGCGGTGCCATTGACTTCCATGCATCGCCACGCCCCCTCCCACCCTGAATGCAGGGAGGCGGCCATAGGCTGACCGCTATGGAACGCACTGTTTGTGGTGTGACCCAGCCCTAAGAGAGGTGGGGTGGGGCAGCGGGGTTGGTTTAAATTTTTTTTTGTACTTTTATTTATTTTTTAATATATTTTTTTCACCTAAATTTATTCCTATCACACAGGGGATTACAAGCCCCTGTGTGATAGTTTGGAGGTGACAGGTTCTCCTTATGGAACATGCCCTCCAGCCCAAAACAGATGTTTTGTGCAGTTCCTGAGCCTAGGTTCACACCATATGCGGTGTGATCAAAACAGTGTTTGCAGCATTTTGATCGCACCGGACCGCAGGCACAATGTGCCTTGCGATCCCGTGCGGCCGGAGGGTGTGGCTACGGTGCCATTCACTTCAATGGCCCGCCAGGCCCCCTCCTGCCCCACAAAAAAGTGAGCCTGCCGCGATGCAGTGTGTTCGGGCCGGAATGCACTGCATCTGGTGTGAACCCAGCCTAACAGCTGAGACAGATGGCGCTATGATTACAGCACTCCGGTCTCACTGATCACGCAGAGCGAAGAACGGACCAATTTGCCGTGGTCCCGGGTCCCCCAGAGGGCGTCGGGTGCGCCTACGTATAAAAACAACGAACGCGCTACACA